AAAATTAGCCTAAGTAAATTGTCTGAAAAGCTCACAAAAAATATTAGAAGAATTTTATCATGTTCTTGACTACAAGAGTAAAAAACTGGTAACAATCTAAGTATCCAAGGTACAACCTACATAGAGGTTAAAAATGATATAATTACATACTTACTGATACAGACCTCTTCCTAAAGTAGTGTTAAAGGGGGAAAAGCAAGTTATAAAACAGTAAGTATATTTCATGGAAGAAGTAATAAAACAAATATAGATGCATAGAAAAATGTCTGAAAAGATATATACTGAAATGTTAACAGTGGTTATAATCAGATGGTACAGAAATAGGTGATTTTTTGTCTTTTCACTCATCTGCAGTTTCTTTTTTTAAAAAAGTATATATATTTACCAAAAAGCATTTAAAAAAACAGGGGAAGATAACCCAGTTCTCTAGGGAGAGTCCACTTATCCACGCATGAACATCATTTAATGCAGGAAATGTCTTCTTGTGGTCACATAACAAGACATTGGTATAGCAACTGACGTCAAGTCAAGACTTTCCCTTAAAAGTGGAACATGAAGGTAAAAACAGTAACATGCTCTCCACAGATGCACACCGTCAGTCCTGCCAGTCACCTGTCAAACGTACACCAGCGGGGACTCTGCTGTGGTTTGTCTGGGCTCCTGCCAGGTGTGCTGGGGTCTCTGGCGCCTGGAGCCACCCTGCAGCAAGGCTGTGCATGTCAGAGAGGACAGGGCATGTACAATTCTGCTCAAACACAGACCCACAGACTCCTCTGAAACGGGTTCCAAAACAGAGAACATCACTGCTAGAAATATGAAAATGTCTCTTCTTAAGTGTACACATTTTTTATTAAAAACCCTTCCTTAGTGTTTCTCCCTTTCCCCATGCAGCTTTCTCCTGGCACCCATGCACATACACAGTCCTAGTTCATGAGAAATGTCACTCAGCTGAACATCCTTACCACAGACACCTTCTTGCTTGCCTATTGAACTAGAAAACCACATTCCTCAGACAGGAGCATGGAAGAGACTTGTGAATAATGCATTTCTGGACAGGGCTCCCTCCACCATGCTCCCTTCCCATCCCCAGAACACACACCATTTCTCTAGCAGGCCATGTACTTAACAATTGCGGTCCTTTTAAGCCATGCATATCATTTAAAAATATATATGGACATTAATTTGCAAGCTTCTAGTTTCTAAGTGCTTTGAAATCCAGTGACATTTCAAGGAAATAAAGAATTGTGACTTCTAGCAGGACAAATAGCACCACCTGCTCTTGGTTGCTAGTGAAGAGTGGCAGCTGGTCCCTCATGCAGGGCAGCCTCTCTCGAGCGCCCACACTGAGTCATGTCACAGCTGGCTTCTTCCCGAGGGGGCACCTGGCCACATGTGAGGTCCCCCCATAAGGTTCCCAGCAGACCTATGGTTGGCTCTTACCCCAAATTGTCCTGGTTTCTATAGAGAAGGAGACTTCTGTACAGAAGAGCCCTAGTAAGTCAGGCATGTCGCATTGCTTCTGGGCAGCACTCCGACTGCCCTGTGTCCTACTCATTATTTGAAGCTCCAAGTCAAACATAGTGCACACCAGGCAGGTGCTGCAGCCACCATTCTGAGGCTGTGCCCAGGGAGCCTGCAGGCGGAGACCAGCCACCCTCTGTGGACAGTCATCCTGGGTGTTGGTTTGGTTCCATTCAACCTGCTGCAACCACTGGGACAGCCTGTTCCCTACCCAGGAGGAGCTCATCTCCAGGAAGGGGATGGGCACCTCCCCACCAGGGCTCTGTGTCCCTGCAAGCTCAGAGTCTCCCCCCGTACTTGGACACTAAAATCATCAATAAAAAAGTAAGTTTGTGTTCCACAGAATGAGCCTCTCAATGCACAGTCATTTTAACCAGCTATCTTGGAGAGAACCCTGCAAAACCAGAATCATTCAGAAATGTTTGTAATGGACATTTCTAAATGGAATTCTGGTTCATGCTTTTGTAAATTGTTCTTCACTATAGACACACATTAAAACAATTATGGAGTGCATAATCTTTTGTGCACTCAAATGTCACCAAAAGGGGAACAGTGGTCTGGCTCTCAAAGGCACAGACCAAGATCCAGGACATCTGGACGTGGAGTCCACACCATTGGTCATGGCTAGGTGACCGTGGGTGTGTCACCTCTGTCTGCAAAATGTGTGTAACAATCTCTGCTCAGTCCTTTCACCCAATTAAGGAGAGAAGAAACTGAGGGACTATGTGAGTTCAAGGTCTCCTGTGAATACTGGCTCTCTTTCCCTGCAAGGCCTGACCACAGTGTGTTAATCTGCCACTCCGGCCCTAGGTAGACCCCCTCACCAGTCCCAACTTTAAAATGCGTCCTCTTGGGTCTTGACTAGAATGAAAAGTTATTTTTAACACATGGACTGCACACTAGAAAAATTTTTTTCCTTGGGGCCACCATGGTGTTTTCTTAGGTCAAGAGACAAATGAGTTAGGGCGGCGCCTGTGGCTCAGTGGGTGGGGCACTGGCCCCATATACCAAGA